GAGCCACAGTGCCAGATCCCCACGGCCCGCCTCTTCATCTTGGTCTTGCCACAGAAGGAGCAGGTGTACTTGGTGTGCTGGCTGATTTCAATCTTCTTCACCATTTTCTGGAGGGAGGCACCGTAGCGAGTCCCATATTTACCGACAATGCCGACCTTCTTGGTGCGCTTAGCCATGTCGATGCGAGGAGGCCCAAAACCAGAGAGGAATATTTATTGTGTTTTGAGACAGTCTTGTTATGTAGTTCAGGCTGGCCTTGAACTCACTATGTAATCCAGGCTAGCTTCAAACTCATGGGATCCTCCTGCCTCAGCCTTAATCTTAAATGCTGGGATTACAGTTGTGTGCCACCACGCCCATCTGTGGATCAATTTATGATACATATTTTTTGTATTTATTTTAAAGTAAATAGCAAACATCATGATCAGTCATGGTCTTGCTTTTGAATATCTGTGGTTCTGACTAAAATAGTAAGTCTTTTTTCATTCATGAAATTTTTAAGAATATTAAAGAACACAAGGAATTGGTATTGTTGGAAATAGAGAGAAGAGAGTCAGTTGTACAAAGATGTTAATTAAGAGGTCTAAACTATTAACTTTTAATTGTAATTATTAGCATAAATTTTTTTATTTTTTCTTTCCTTTAAAAAGATACAAATTCAATCCCCTTCCCCCCTCCAAAAAAAAAGAAAAGAAAAATACATCTTAGTAACTAGCCACTATCAACTTCTCAAGTAGCATTAAAAACAGCAACACTATAACAACCAATGCTTCCAAATATGCTGGTTATGGACTCTAAATATCATTTCTTTCTCTTTTTTTGGTCTTTTGAGACAGAGTTTCATTTTGTAGTTCAGGCTGGCCTTGAATTCACTTTGTAGCCTAGGCTAGGCTTGAACTCTCTGAGATCTTCCTGCTTCAGCCACCCAAGTGCTGGCATCACAAACATGCATCACCATGCCCAGCTAAATGTCATTTCTTACTATGACAAAACAAAGATTCTTGGAGAAATGGCTAATTCTGGGACTAGGACAGAGAGTTATATATAAGATGGCACTAAAAGATCTTATTGTTCCTAAAAGCAAGGAAATCATGAAAGACTGATTAATGAGGTTATATCAAAAGGACAAATAGAGAAGGCTGATAAGTGGTAGAGCACTTGGTTAGCAGGCACAAGAATGTGGGTTCAATCTCTAGTACCACAATAAAACAAAACAAAAAAAGGGAACATGTATGAACCAGCATGAAAAGGTTCACTAGCCAAAGATCTGATAATGTGGATATCAAAGAATATAATGACTGAAACTATAACATGAAATGTATAAAATTAACTTAGTTTCTAATAAAATTAGAAAGTGTCTCCACCATCCAAGAAATAAACAATGGATCATAACTCAAGGTATGCAGGGCATCCAATTGTTACTCTGAAAATGTCAACTAAAAAAAGAATTTAACATCTATCTTATCTTGCTTGTTCGTGTTTTATTTGTGTTTTGTGACACAGTCTTGCTTTGTGGCTCAGACTTTTTTTTTTTCAGACTGGTTTTCTCACTGATTGTGTAGCACAGGCTGGTTTTGGATTTGGGGCAATCCTATCTCAGCCTCCTAAGTGGTTATAGGCGTGAGTCACCATGCCTCACTATCCTGTCTTTTTTGGTTCAAGTTATACAGCAGGATAATTAAATAGTCCCAGCTAATATGGAATGCTCTCTTTACAAAAGAAATACAATAACAATAAGCTCGTCTTCTGGATGGTTAACAACCTAAGTTTGCAGACCAAAATTAGAGAAAAAGGAGGGCTACAAGGAAAGCCAACTTTTTGGCCCT